GATACAATCAGTCCATCGGTGATATATGGTGCCCAATAGGAAGCCATTTAGCTCATCTTCAGCCTTGATTATGGTCGTGGTCATTCCATGGTCTACTTGGATGGAAGCTGGCATGATGTATATAGATGTTGACTATCCCTTGGATAGATTGTTAATAACTACATGCCATTGTAGTTTGCAAGGGTAAAATCCAAATTCATTTTCCTCTCAATGCCACAGGAAAATCTTACACACACCTCTGTTTACCCCAAAATCATGCCTTGCCACTTCTAACTCCAGCTAGAAAATTAAAACTATAGGAGAACATCAATCCACATCCCAAGGTATGAATCGCATTGTCTAAGGAATCCCCCCAATTTGAAATTGCTAGCTGAAGCACCCTCCTGGAAGATTGAAAAATAAGGGTAAAAACCTTATTTCCTAAACAGATTGGCCCATTGCATCACTGATTGAATCATGTCCCAGATATATGAGTGGAAACTGCATGATTGAACTAACTAGGGAAAACAAAACAAAAACCAAAAACCCTTGTTGTTCATCCCCAAAAAACTGAAGGATGAAGGTCTTAATACCCCCAGAATATGAACCACCTGCCTTTCACCACAAATTAAATCCCGAAAACTTGTACTCATGTCTGCCTTATGAATCTGATATACCATCTCTCTACACGTGACTAATCTGTTTTATTCCTCCAATAGTATGTCTTTTATTTTGTTGTAAATCCCAAGAGAAGGTGAAAGGAAATGTATCAAAGAATGTAAAAAACTTGTCTATGAATTGTACGGAAGAAGAAGAAAAAAAGCAAACAGTGAAAGATGTAAATATTTAATATGTATGGCTTTCGACTATTAAGAGGAATTACTTAAAAGGGGAAATTCTAAATAATAATGGGGGCTAATAGAGAAATACAATCTCTGAAATGAATAAAACCTAAAAAAAATTTCTGACAAGAAAAAAATCCGATAAGTGCCATGAATGCCTTCTTCCAGCAACTGAAGGAAATAGCAGAGAAACTGAAGGAGCAGTAATGTGAGAGAACAATGGTAAGTTTAATTTAAAAATAAGATGATAACCATTCTCCAAAGAATGCAGGAAAGGGCATGAAACATGGGACCATTGAGTGGAACGTCTGAGGTCCTGAATGCACCAAAGAGCTGCTCATCCTCAAAAATGTGACTGGATACTTCAGACCAGCCAGTGTGGACAACCTCTCTCCTCCTCCCATGGTTACCAGGACTAAGAGGAAGTGGCAAGAGACTGTATTTCTCTTTGCTTTATTAAATATAAGTACCTGCAAAGTTAGCTGCACTGAGTCTGTGCTCTCTAATTACCCCTAGAAGAACTGAATTTTAGGATTTTGATTGAGTAATGCTACATGCTGGTTTATTCTTTACATGTCCAAACTGGTTGGCTGAAGGGAAATCTCAAAGAATAACTTTTAGGCAGGGTAGGTCAGCACAGAGTTCTATCAGAAAATGCTGGTTCTAAGGAATCAAGGTGTTCTGCAGCATAGGTGCTGGCTTCCTCATTTGCCCAGGGGTGCTTGATCCCCGCTCTCCAGACCTCGCTCCCACTCGACCCCTGCCCCCCCTCTTCCCACCCCATTCCACCCCCTCCCCTGAGCGTGCCCTGCCCTTGCTCCTCTCCCTCCCCCCAGTGCCTTCTGCATGCCACTGAACAGCTGATCATGGCAGAGGGGAGCAGTGGGAGGAAGGGGGAGGAGCTAATTGGTGGGGTTACCAGCAGGCAGGAGGCGCTGGGGGGAGGGGGAGGAGGTAATCGGCGGGGCCACCGTTGGGTGCTGAGCACCCACTATTTTTTTCCATGGATGCTTCAGCCCCAGAGCACCTACATAGTCAGCTCTGCAGGAATGTATTAGTTCCATTGCCATTTTCTATGCTAGCAGACACATGTCAAAAACTAGGTCACCCACCAGTCAGCTAAATGGTAGGTGAGCTATCAGGGTCTCAGGGACTCCTGGTTCTGAAGCAACTTGTATGGCTGACTGCCTGGGAGCCTCCTGAGCAGCCAGGAAAACCACCTACCTTTTCTGAACTCTTTCAAGATTTATTATGAAATGGAAAATTCCATTCCCATGTAGGTCTACTTTTATGTGATTCCTTCTGATGTTTTAAACTAGTCCCTCTCAAACTAATCAGCAGGAATTAAGCATATTCATCAAAAGCAGGAGACAAAGTGCAACTTTCATTCCTTTAAGAGTTATATTAATTATGTTAATTGTATTAGAAGTTCAAAAGAATTGATAACTGATTATTATAAAGTAACTGTTGTAAGAAAGAACTGTAGACAATTTGATTGTTCTGTGCTTGGCCCCAGCATTAGCCTATGTCAATTGCTTTCGCAACTGTATGTTGTATTCAGTATGTGCCTGGAACTGCTAGCATCCAAACTTAATCTACAAGTCTTCTTTAAACTGTTGATTGTATACACATAGACTTGATGGTGAATTAATAAAACTGTTTGCTTAAGAATAGCAAAATGTCCTGATTTGAGAAGAACTGTCCAAGGTAAAAGTTGTCCTGAGATGATCCTATCATTAAAATTAGTAAGGTAACCATCTCTGGATTTGGGGTGGCTTTATTAAATTTCATACACATATGAGCTATAATATTTACCAAAAATAGGCAAATCGTATTTGTTACATTTGGGCTTTAAAATCGAACTGGCACCTGGCAAATTTATAAAAGTTGACCCCCATTTATGCTTACACCAGTAGAGACTCTTGCAGAAAACCCCTTGGCAAATAGATAGAGGGTCCTTGTCACGGGCAGCACATAATGGAGACCAGGGGAGGCTAAGCCTCCCCAAACCCCATGACACTGGGGAGGGAGGGGCAGTGGCGGATTTGGGACCTCCTGAAAAATCTCCCCCACCATAGTCCCAGGGCTGGAGGAGAGCTCGCTATGTGCCTTCGGAGCCACTTCGGGGGCACAGAGCTTTTCCGGTCTGTGGGGTCACAGCGGGGGAGGGGGAAAGGAGCACACAGGGGAGGGGCCTTGGGTGGGAGAGGCGGAGTGGGGGCAGAACGGGGGCAGGGCCGCGGGGGAAGGGGCAGAATGGGGTGGGGCCATGGATGGGGCCATGGGCAAAATGGGGGAGCCCCAGCCCCAGGCAGAGCAGAGAGCTCCACCGTGGTCCCAGCTGAGGCTGAGAGTTTGACCCCAGCTGGGGCCAAGCTCTCAGCCCCACCCTACTCCGGGGCCCCGACCAAGCTCTCATCCCCCCCGCCCTGGGCCATGGGCGGGGGGGGGGAGCTGAGAGCAGCAAGATAGGGCAGGGTCTCGGCCAGAAGAGGTGGGTCAGGGGGGTTAGCTTCCCCAAAGGGAAACATCACCCACCACCCATGGACCTTGTCAATAAGTTCTTGCAAATGCTCACCCCATCTATTCTGGGGCGTACAAAAGAAAGGAGTTTGGCCACAGACATTCATCCCATGTCCTGGAGTTCCCATACAACAGAAACTTAGCCTTCAATGGGATAATCAGATAGGTCCATATTGTCCCTTCAGCTAAGTATGGCTTTCCATGTCCTTCTGCACGGCCATGTAGACCCTGCCTGGATGCCAGCTCCAAGTGCAAAAGCTCCATGTTAGATTTTAGCCTTCTGGGATTCTCTCCATCTATTGGAGGATGGAGCTGCTGCTGTTTTCAGATTTCCAGGCCATCATCCTGGAAAACCTCTTTGGGACTCCCATCTGTAACAATGCTGGCTTTGGTGGGACCCAACAGAGTGTCAATTCAGGACAAATTGCTTAAAGCTGGGCAGTTACAGCCCAAGGCTGAGGTTCCTTTGCATGCCAAGGCAAACCAAGCCAGCCAAACAGAGAAGAGCTTCAGTTTGTAGCAATGTTCCTCCAGAAGTAAGAAGCAGGATTGAAGACAAGATGGAAATGAGGCAGCTGCCTTTTATAGTCTCTTCCAGGTGGTAGGACACTTCTTTGTTCTTACTGTGGAAAATTACAGCAAGATGGCTTTTGGAGTCACATGGGCAAGTCACATGTCCATGCATGACTCAGTTCTTTACAGGCCGATGCCATTGTTTACAATCTAGTTTGAACATTCCCAGGAAAGCTCAGATGTGGATTGGCATCTTCCAAAGTCCATTGTCCGTTAAGTGTTTCTTGATTGGGCACTTACTGAGAATAGTCCCTTCTCAAGAAGCTGACCAAATGCTTCGCTGAGGCTACTTAGAATCAAAACATATTGAGATAAAAGTACCTAGCCAATATTCATAACTTCAGCTACAAAAATGATACACACATACAGATAGCATAATCATAATCAGCAAATCAAAACCTTTCCATAGACTCCTTACACGACAACCTTTGTACAATATTTGCTGGAAATATATAACAGTGGTTGCAACAATGATCTATACGGTCACAGGTTATGTCAGTAACATCACACCATCTCCACATACTTCTTACTGGCTAACCAGTGATTCCTGGACATCAGCTACACCATTACCACTATGCTCCAGATACTGCTCTACCTCCTCTCCAGGAGGAAGAGTATCTCCTATGCTGGCTTCATCACCCAGATGTATATCTTCCTCTTCCTGGGGATAAGCGAGTGTGTCCTCCATGCCATGATGGCCTACAACTGATACTTAGCCAATTGCCACTCTCTGTGCTGTACCCTTATCACGAGCAGGCTGATCAATGCCAGGATGGCAACTGGCTCATGGACATGAGGTTTCCTCTTTGCCACAAGGCACATCAGCTTCACACCATGAGTCTGGTCTATTGCAGCCTGATCAAGATCAACTACTTCTTCTGTGAGGTGCTGGCCATTTTGAAGCTGGCCTGAATGGACATACGAGTTAGTGAGGTGGTAGACTTCATTGAGGGGCTGATACTGCTCCTGATTCAGTTCTTCTTGATCTTGGTAGCTTAGGCTTTCATCCTAATGGCCATCTTGTGGATCTATCCAGCTGAGGGGAGGTCCAAGGCCTTCTCCACATGCACCTCACACATCACCATGGTGACGGTCTTCTATGGTTCTGACATCTTTGTGCCCTTGGCCTCCAGCTATTCTCATGGAGGTATAAAAATCTATCCATAACCTTCCGTTAAGTTCACCCTAAATCATTTTCGTGCTCCCAGCTGGGAGATGGAGTTAAGTACTCCTGCCTGTCTGTTGCTGGACATAATTTCTGCAAATGAATCCATGCTTGGTATTCAGATCCATGGAAGTTAATCTACAGGGAACGTTTTCAGATTTGCAGTGTGATTGCAAAAATAGCTGTGGTGGCAATTCCTCTCTCCAGCCCAATCATCCTTGCGTCTCTCTTAGCATATCACTTACAAACATTTGCAAGGAGATGAAGATAATTGCAGCGTAAAAAGAACAGAGTAATTATCAAGAATGTCAATGTCTTTAATCCAGCCTTTCCTGGTAATGCTAGGAGTTCCCACACTACCACTAAAATTCATTACATTACATACATACATACATGAACAGCCACCTTGTAGAGCTAGAATGTCAGAATATAGCTCCAGCCTGGCCAAAAATATTAGCTCAGACTGAGTCAGGGAAGGAAACTTTACCTAGAGCTGGTCAAAATGTGTCAACCAAACTCTTTTCCCACTGAAAACAGTGCTTGTGTTGACTACACAATGTTTAATGGGAAAATCTCTTTATTTTTTACTAAATAATTTCCATTGTCTCATGGAAAATTTACCAAATTGAATGATGAAAAAGTTTCATATGAAATAGAGATTTTCAATATTTTTTATATTTCAAGGATTTGACTCCAAATGTCAGGGTTTTTTTCTGGTTTTGGAAATTGAATGATGTCAGTATCCTCTCTTTGTTTTATTGCAATATTGGTACTTTCCCAACTTTTCTCTGCCTTTTTTTCCTTTTCTCTCTCCTTCCAATGGAAAAATTGTAGGAAAGGTACAAAAGTGAAAGAAAGTATTGAAAAACCCAAATTTGGTGGGGCTGGGGGAGGAGTTTTAGAAAGTAATGGAAAATAGGGGAAATAACATTTTTTACATATTTATTACCAACTGGAAAAGGGTGAAAAAACAAAATATGTAAAATAATTTTTTTCACAAACAAATCTTGAAAAATCTTTAAGTGATGTTTTCACAATTTATAACTTGGAATACAGTAAAGACATAATACAAAGAGTAATTCTCAACCTACTCTCTCATATGTTTTATCTTTCCTCCCTTTTGAAAGGGCATAAAAGGGAGAAATCTGGAAAATAATGAAAACTGAAAGAGGAAAACTTTTTTTCTCAGTTTCCAAAATCCAAGCCAAAATGATGTTTTAATTCAAAATGTGAGACATGAGGCAAAATTCACCATTCATTGTTGAGTGCATATTACCTTTCAAGACCATTAGAGCTCAAAATGAAATAAAATTTCAAATATTTTGAAATGGATGGCCAAGCATCTCAAACAGGTGATTAAGAGAAAACAGAAAGCTTACAAGGAATGGAAGAAGGGATGAATCAACAAAGAAAGCTACCTGGATGGATAAAGTGACAATTGCCAAAAGCCAAACAGAGGTGGACCTTGCAAAGGAAATTAAAACAAATAAGAAAGGTTATTTAGCTAGCTAAATAAAAAGAAAGCAGGAAAGAAGAAGTGGGACTGCTAAACATTGAAGACGGGTGAAGATTAAAGATAATTTAGGTATGGTCCACACCTAAATGCTTTGCCTACGTTTTTAATAAGGGTAATGAGGAGCTTAGGGGCAAGGCCAGAATGACACATGGGAACAAGAATATGGAAGTAGAAATTACCACATATGAGGTGGAACGCAGACTCAAACAGCCTGTTGGGACCAAACTAGGAGCCCCAGATAATTTCTGTGATGCTGGCATGCCAGAGGCCAGCGCTTGCCAAGGCTGCAAGCATTAGCTAAGAACTGACAAACTCATAGCTGAAGATCAGACCAGTTCACTTGCGTGTTAGTGTTGCTCAAAAGAGGTATTAGTCTTATAAGAATGTATTCAGTGTTTAGACTCTATAGAATGTTTGTAAGTTGCTGCATGCATTAATCTTATTTATAATGTCTGTATTTCATGCTAGCAGGAAATATGTTAGTTTTGCTTTACGACTTTGAAAATGTTTACTCTAAACTTGTGAATCCAGATGGTAAGAGTGTTCCCTTGGCCCCCATCCAGAGGAACTATCAAAATCAAATGGGCCATCAAGGAACACAGCAATACAAAGGACTGGTTAATGTCCCTATCACACCTTGGAAATGCTACGTGCAAGGAAGCTCATCCTGTGGACTGGGAAGCTGAACGAAGGAAATCAAACAAAGACACAGAAACATTTTCCATCTCTTTGCTGTTTGGTCTCTCACAGGGCCAGAGGTACCAAACTGAAGCCAGACCCAGAGGCTACCTCCTGGGTCTGCTCTGAAAGATATTTTGAATTAACAAAACATTACAACGCTGTCTCTCTTAGGATTTAGATTGCAGCTCATTTTGTGTGTACGTTTGCTTGCTTTAACCTGTAAATAATGCTCTTATTTCTTTTTTCTAGTTAATAAACCTTTAGAAAGTTTATTACAGAATTGGCTACTGGTGTTGTCTTTGGTGTCAGATCTACGGTACCAATTGATCTAGAGTAAGTGACTGGTCTCTTGGGACCGGAAGCAACTTGAACGTGGTGTGATTTTTGGTGTAAGTGACCATTTATCACTAAGTCCAGTTTGCCTAGGTGACAAGACAGACTGGAGAGTCTCAGGGGACCAGTCTGCGACTCCATAGTAAAACTGTTATAGTGATCTAGGTATTCACATTTGTTATTGGCTTGTTAAAATGTAATTATAGACCATATCACCAGTTTGGGGTGTCTGCCCTGTTTTTCACAGTCTGCCCTGAGGTAGGCATGCACAGTTGTGAAACACTCCAGACAGAGTGACAATCTCTATTGAAGAATAAGAAAGGAACTGGCTCATAAAATTGAAAGCCCAATAGCAAGGATGATTAATGAATCTGTAAATTCGGGGGTCGTATCCTATGACTGGAGAATTGCAAATATAGTACCTATATTTAAGAAAGAAAACAAAGCGATCCAGGAAATGACAGGCTCGTTAGTTTGACCTCAATAGTATCCGTGGTGGTAGAATAGTGGTTCCCAAACTGTGGGTCATGACCTCACATGGAGCCACTCCATGAGCAGATGGGGTTGCGGCAATCCCAAGTATGCGAAAGATGCTATTTAGTAAAACATGCAGCATGACGTTGCAAACACCAGACGTGTGCAAGCTCACACTGTGTGGACGATGCCATTTTTCTAAAGCAACATGGTGTCCTTGATGTGGCATGACCTTGCACATATAGTGCGTGAGAAGCCAAGCTGCATGGAGGACGCTATTTTTGAATGGTATCCTCCATGCTATCTGGGGTCACAGGAAGCAATATATCCGAAAATGGGGTCATGCAGGGAAAACGTTTGGGAACAACCATCTTAGAACAAATTTAGAAAGAGAGAGTAATTAAAGGCTTAAAAGATAAATGGCAATAGGGATAAAATACAACATGGTTTTACATGGTTTTACAAAAGGCAGATCATGCTAGACCAACCTGAATTTTTCGTTTGAGAAGATAATTATTTTCTAGACAAAGGAAATGCAGTAGATCTAATTTAACTTGATTTCAATAAAGCATTCGATACAGTTACACATGAGAAAATTTTCATTAACTTGAAGAAGCTGAGGATTAATACAAGAATTGAAAGGTGAGTAAGGATCTGGATAAAGGGGAGACTACAGCGGGTCATACTGAAAGGTGAACTATCAGGCTGGAGGAAGGTTACAAGTTGAGTTCCTCAAGGATCAGTCTTGGAACCAATCTTATTTAACTTTACCTCAATGACGTTAGCATAAAAAGTGGGAATGTGTTAATAACATCTGCAAATGACACCAAGTTGGGAGGTATTGCCAATGTGGACGAAGACAGGAATATCATACAATAAGATCTGGATTACCTTGAAAACTGGAGTAATAGAAATGGGATGAAATTTAGTAGTTCGAAGTGCAAGGTCATGCACTTTGGGGCCAACAACAAGAATTTTTTCTGTAAGCTGGAGACTTACCAGTTGGAAGTGACAGAGGGGAGAAAGACCTGGGTCTGCTGGTTGATCATAAAATGACTATGAGCTACCAATGTGATGTGGTTGTGCAAAAAGGCTAATGCAGTCCTAAGATGCATTAGCAAGGTATTTCCAGTAGAGACAAGGGAGTGTACGGGTTCTGGTATCCCATGTTTAAGAAAGATGAATTCAGGTTAGAACACGTGCAGAGAAAGGCTACTAGGATGATCAGAGGAATGGAGAACCTGCCTTATGAGAGAAGACTTAAGAAGGTTGGCTTGTTTAAAAAAATGAAAGTTGAGGGGAAATAGGATTGCTCTCTATAAATACATCAGAGGGACAAACACCAGGGATGCAGAGAAGTTCTTTAAGTTAAGGGCCAATGTCAGCACAAGAACAAATGGATATAAACTGGCTATCAGCAAGTTAAGGCCTGAAATTAGACAACTATCATATGAATGAAGTTCAAGAACAGCCTTCCAAAGGAAGTAGTAAGAGGGAGGGGAAGCTAACTTGTTTCAAGACTGAGCTTGATATGTTTATCGAGGGGATGGTATGATAAGGTGTCCTACAGTGGCATATGGCCCATCTGTGACTGCTATTAGTGAATATCTCCAATGCCTGAAGATGGGATGCTGAAGAGGGAGGGCTCTCTGTTAGTATAAAGAATTCTTTCCCAGTTTAGCCTACATACTTAGGGTCTAACTGAACACCATACTTGGGGCCAGGAAGGAATTTTCCTCCAGGTCAGAGTGGCAGAGATCCTGGGGTATTTGGTTTTTTCCTGCCTTACTGTTCAACATGAGGCATGGCTCACTTCCTGGTTTGAATTAGAATCAGTGACGGATTCTCTGTAATTTGAAGTCTTGAAATCAAAATTTGAAGACTTCAGTAACTCAGCCAGAGGTTAGGGATCTATTACAGGAGTTGGTGGGCAAGGTTCTGTATCCGGTGATGTGCAGGAGGTCAGACTAGATGATCA